TATGTATAAACTGATCCGTCTATCTACTGAGAACTATGGACTTACCTTCTCTATTATCTATTAATCGTCTCAAGTGGGGGCCTCGTTCTCTCGACGATCTGCACGAAGTACTGGAGATCATCCAATCCCGTCACCCGAATGTGCCAATCGTTGGCGCGGGCTTCAGTTTTGGAGGGCTTTGTCTGCAGTCTTACGCTGGGTCACCTGCCAACCACAAATCGAAGTTATTAAAAGCTGCAGTCTCGTTCTCCGGATGCTTCGATCCTGAATTCATCTACACAGAGGGTGTACTCAGGCATCGTCTCATGCCGTACGACTTAGGACTATCCCTGTCCGTTGTCAATGTAAGTTGAGTCTCGTGCGAGATTTTTTATGCGAGGTGTTATGATCTCTCTCGAGGCATATTAGAATCTAGCCGGAAAAGGTAGAAAATATTATTTTTGGCTTGGTCCAATTCTGCGATTTTTGGGTTTTGTGCACAAGAGAGCAAGTGGCGTACACGTTCTATTCGATGCAATTGTTTGTTGAAAGTAGGCGCTGTCCCTTCTGAGCTCAACAGAGAACTACTATATAACAATAAGATTAACGCATGTACTTTCTTGGCTACGTTCTTATGCATGCAGGACATGAAGCCACATTTCGAACTAATGGGGAAGCACTTGGGCACAGATTTGGGCAAGGTCCTGATTGGTTCGCGATCCATGGAAGCTTACCACAATGCTATCACAATTCAAGCTATGGGTATCTCCAGTACAGTCGAGTACTGGTTGATGATGGGCCAATTCCATCGCCAACTGATGCGTAGTATAAACGTGCCTGTACTGAGTTTATTAGCGGACGACGACCCGTTGATACCCCCGAAAGTGTCTGCGGGAGCTGTAGAGAGCATCACACAATCCGATGGGGCGATTCTGGTACAGACCAAGCGAGGCGGCCATGCGGGATTTTTCGAGTACTCCACAGGAGAGTGTTATGCGGATAGAGTGGCGCTCGACTTTTTGAATGCGTGTTGCAGACGTTGTGTGGTTTGAATGGATTCGCATCATACCAGACCTGTTCATTTGCCTTAAGTATTATACCAGACCTGTTCATTGGCTTTATGTGCATATTGGTAGTGGACCATGTACTTGTTCAAGATAGTTGGCATCTTACTGTCGCAACTTTGACATGCTTTTTATATACACAAGCACGTGATGGCTTAACCAGGAATGTCTCACAAACTGCGTTTGCGTGGCGTGCGTTGCTACGTTCCTCAATTACGCAATGAGAGAACATACACGGTGCACACGCTCATACATGAAACTTAACAACGCCAGCCTTCTCGCCCACTTGTGACAACCGAGTATCCGGACAAGGGATACTGCCCACAGTTGGCTTTGGCGGTGGAGATAACAACGACCAGAGCGAGGATACGCACTAGGCACAGAGTGTGACGTGCTAGTACAAATGACCAGAGACTCGCGACGCCAACTGTATACACATGGGTCGGCAGTATGAATTGATAGCAGTAGGTGATCGCTTATTGCAACGTAGTTGCGGAAGTTATGTAGTGGAAGCCACTATCTCTACCAGATGGGTATTTATATAGGCACAATTCAGTGGCTGACAAGTGCTCGCACTTCTATTTTGAGCGAACTCGTAGCGGATCTGCATGAAGCACACTATTACGTTGGTGTGCTGACATCGATAAATTTGGGCAGTGACCGGAGAACTCACAACAGTACCCTTTGTTGAGGAATATCAGAAGGGCCATTCTGTACCTCAAATGTAAACGTTTTGAATACTTAGCGTTTGATTGGCTTAGTTAACCATTAAAAATCTGAATTTACAGCATAGTTTATACCAATCGTGAACATTCCCTATGACCCTGTCAAGACTTATTTCCGTCCTTTCCTGGCTTTGCGTGATACAACGGCTTTGCGTGATACAACTATCAGATCACGCGAGCCCATTCGTTGTAATTCAGCAGGATTCAAATATCTCAATAGTGTGATATTATGATTCATTCTGGATTGTATCTTTTGTGGTTTGCATAGGGGCATTTGCCTTCTTTAGTAAGGATATGGCTTGCCTCCTTTGCTCTTTCAGGTACGCTTGGAAGGCTTGTCGTTCTGCGGCATTCCCCAGCTTGTGTAACTCCTCTTTCTCCTTAGGTTTCTGTGTAAGATAATTCATGCGTGTGAATTAGGTGATTCTTATTGATAAGTTGAGCATCGATTGATGTGATGCAGACAATCTTTCAACAATTATACATAAAATGTATCGCATAGTGTACAATGTGTCTTCGATGCATTCGTTCGTCAGTTTATGGCTGGGTCCCTCTGAGCAGTCACCGAAAAGATTCATGATCACGGTCAACCATGCACAACGCTGGGATGCACGGAAAAAGTACGACTTGCATGAACATTCGATGCCAATTCTATATCTTTGGTGGATATGCCAATTCTGTAGCTTTGATGGTTATGCCAAATCTATATCTTTGGTAGATATGCCAATTCTGTATCTTTGATGGATATGCCAATTCTGTATCTTTGGTGGATATGCCAATTCTGTATCATTGGTGGTTATGCCAATTCTGTATCTTTGATGGATATGCCAATTCTGTATCTTTGGTGGATATGCCAATTCTGTATCATTGGTGGTTATGCCAATTCTGTGTATTTGGTGGATTTGCCAACCAATTCTGTATCCTAGGTAGTTATGCCAATTCTGTATCTTTTGTGGTTATGACAATCTGTATCTTTGGTGGTTATGCCAATTCTGTATCTTTGGTGGTTATGCTAATTCTATAACTTTGGTGTTTATACTAATTCTATATCTTTGGCGGTTATGCTAATTCTATATCTTTGGTGGTTATGCCAATTCTGTATCTTTGGTGGTTATGCTAATTCTATATCTTTGGTGGTTATGCTAAATCTATATCTTTGGTGGTTATGCTAAATCTATATTTTTGGTGGTTGTGCTAATTCCATATCTATGGTGGTTATCCTAATTCTATATCTTTGGTGGTTATGCTAATTCTATATCTTTGGTGGTTATGCTAATACTATATCTTGGTGGTTATGCAAATTCTATATCGTTGGTGGTTATGCCAATTTTATATCTCTGGTGGCTATGCTAACTCTATATCTTTGGTGGTTATGCTAATTCAATATCTTTGGTGGTTAAGCCAATTCTGTATCTTTGGTGGATATGCCAATTCTGTATCCTTGGTGGTTATGCCAATTCTGTATCCTTGGTGGTTATGCCAATTCTGTATCTTTGGTGGTTATGCAAATTCTATATCGTTAGTGGCTATGCTAATTCTATTTTGTTGGGTGGTTAAGCTAATTCGAGGAACTCATACTGATCCAGCCCCTCGAATATGGTGTACACAAGTTTGTAGAAAAGCTGTAAATAAAACTGAAATAGCTCAGTCGATGCAGCACTAAACAGTGCGAACTCGGCATGAAGATCACGGCAGGTACAAAGCTCCAACATTAAGTTGTATGATATACCCCAGACCACGCCTCTCACCGCTCATGACGCGGTGACCAGGCAATGATGGTAACGCCCCGAGCCTGTGCGGCAACCCAGCCTCGGAACATGTCCAAGTACAGATGCGAGAATAATAGAACACCTACTAAAAGTCGCTGTGAGTGTAGAGCTTTCAATCGTACCTGCAAGCCACAGAGGTATCTCAACCTCCAGCATTTCACGGTGCCAAAACAGGTATAGAAAATCAATGAACAAAAAGTCTGCAATACAAAGCATGCTAGCGTACCTGTGCCCTATTCTCGGCCTGATTTAATACAACTTGCACAGTAGACTTCCTCAAAGTCCCAAACTTCTCGGCCACTTTGTTTAGAGTTTCTTGATTGACCCGGTAGGGCGGTCCATCCTGTAGCCTGGAGTGTATACCGACGATGTCCTGTTTTTTGGTTGGAACAAGGTACGGTACAGGACGCAATGATAAGCTAGCGATAATGAAGCATCTGCAAACGGAGAATACTGCCTAAACCATGCCAAGGAGTGCTACTTGATGATATAAAGCGAATGACGTTGAAATATTAATCAATACAAGAGTACTCTGTGGGATCATAGATAAGATTCTGAAACAATTTTGAAGGTACACATGTTTTAGTTGGTGTATAGAATAATGACCTTCATGGGCAACAAACTTAAGACGTTGAATCATTGTCAAGCACAATAATACACATCCTATATAGCGGTAGGATATGCAGTGCAATTTGATTCGGTACTTTTTGTACACCAAAATCAACGTATTTTGGGCCGGCACCTTTCGCCACATAGCAGATAAAGAACTTTTGTGAAGATCACCCTCATATATATGAAGCCGGAAATAAAATGATGTCAATACTTACAACCCCGAAATTCAGTTCGTGCGGGGATGACATAAAGAGATCAGTACAATATACATCGGCACAATAAAAAATACCCGGAATGTTGGGCTTCATCCGCTTCATATTCATAGACCAACTAACATGTCTCCTGATAGTCGCCTTACGGTCGACATATCCCATTGATCTAATATCACTAAAACTTGCGATATAAAAGGCTATATACGAAGTGACCAACAATGGAAATAATTGTATATTCGTCATTGCTGTGGCCGAAGATGAACATAGTTAATATTCGTATGCGAACAAAATTATATAGGTTAAAACATTCACATAAATAGAGAATAAACATATAAATGTATATACTCGATATATAGATAGGTATATATAAACATATATATATATATATATAAGTATATATATATATATATATATATATATATATTATAGTATAGTAATAGATATATATATATATATATATATATATATATATATATATATATATA